AACCGCCTTAATTTGAAAAATTCGAATCTAGCGCATCATGCACCGATCTGGCACATCATGCGCGAGTGCTCTAGATTTTGGCGCATCATGCGCGAAACCCCAAACTTGGTTTTTTTTGCTCCAAATTTTGCTCATTTTTTCATTTTTGCTCCAAATGCCTGAAAATGGTATACCTGCAACAAAAACACAAAAATATCTTTCTTTAAAGTGCAATATCACAAAAATAGACATAAAAATGGTACTTAAAATAGTATATTATTTTTTTGTATCATTAACCCAACTTAACCCAGGTCAAACCCAATTCAGCCAGAGTTAACCTAGCTTAATGATTCTGATATTTTGCATATGTAAGGATTTATGAAGTTTACACCACCACTTGAAGATTTTAATCCCCGGCAACGGCGCCAAAAACTTGATCCCTGGATACTTAATGGCATATGCACAATATAGCAATAGTTATGATGGTATTTTTCACTTATATTTTCTTATTTTGCAACAAAACTAAAAACTTGACCATGAAGAAAAATAAGAATTTAACTTTTTAATTTATATATATTTTTATTGGGATACTACGCAAGTATATGTATCGTTATCAAGTAATATAAGAATTTTTTATTAAGACCTGAATATCGAACCCACGGGGAAGATTATGTAATATACACTTTTTAGAATGTTTTTCTATTTTTAAAAAGATAATAACTTAAACTAAAAATGATTTTTGTAGGAATTTAAAATTTAAATATTTTTGGGATTTTTGATATTTTAATGAAACAGTAACAACTTAAAAAGATAACTAAAGTTTTTGTAGAAGAAAAGTATTTAATATTAAAATATCTTTCTATTCTGCTGTGGAAGTATGCAAATTGTGTTATGTCAAATAGAAGCAATAATATTCTTTACCCTTACTAGAGATACTACAAGGAATATTGGCTAATTTAAAGTTTGAATAGTTATGAAGACCGGCTAGGCAGGGAAGATACTAGCTGTCACTCTAGAGTTCCCTCGATAGTTCCCTCGATTCCCTCCACTTGAAGGCTAACATTCTCATATTAGAGCCTAAAATAATAAACCAAGTTGGGGGTTTTAACCTATCACTTTAAAGTCCTCTAACTCTACACCCATCAATGAATATTTTCCTCTTTATTTGCACTCAATCATATGAACTACATTCTCATTCATACAACCTCATGTGATTCTTTCTAATTGTTGACTGAGACAATACCAGTC